AATTTCTGGTATAACTGTTTTTTTTTTTCATTTTCCAAAACGACTGAACCCAGCAAAGGAAAGTTTGCTACCCACTTTCAACTATGTCTCCAAGTTTTCATTTTTCAATAAATGCAGTTAGATTTTACTAGCTGTTATGCTCTTGCCAAATCCTTGCTACCCAGGGCTGTGGTAGGGAACAATGTCAGACTTCTGGAATTTTAAAGACTCCGACTCCCTCATATATATATGCAATATTTTGGCAGTCGGGCACACAAGTGAAGCTTGGCAATGGCAATCCAATGATGACACAGAAGGATTTAAATTTATAGCTCCATATCTTTATTCAATTCAAAGGACGTACCATCATTCTTTACTAAATAAGATTAAATTCACTGCGTAGGTAACAAAAGGAGGCAGATGAGAACGGCAGCATAGATCCTAACAGCAGTAGAGATGAACAGTGGTCTCCCACGCAAAATGGTGCGAGTTCTCTATTTATAGGAGCGGTTATGTAATAGGCGTGAATGTTTTCGAAAGTAATGGTAGGGGGAAAGATCTGAAATTGCGGAAATTAATTAGGTTGTTGTTCGCAGAGCACAGCAATCATATTTGTATATTTTACATATATGGAACATATACATATGGGTTACAGTTATTTTTTAATAAAAAGTATAGAGCTACAGGGGAAAAAAAAATGATGGCATAGCAAATTATTTATACTAATTAGCATTTATTATGAAATGGAAAAACTGGCATTATTTATTTCTAAGAAACAGTATTGCTTAGGCAAGATCTTTCTTTGTTGGAGGGCCATAGAGTGGAGGAAAAGCTGTTACTGTTACGGCTGTTAATATTACTGTTACGGCCAACTTGAGTGGGAGGAAAAGCTGTTACTGTTATGGCTACTTCTTTTAACTTTTCAGGATAGATTTTTATAAGCTCTAAAAGAGGTATCTTGCAAGTGCAATCATATTTCTCTATTTCTTCAAAGTCAACTATTATTTCAAATGCCATGTAGAGAGACTCAATTGCAATGTCTGCAGTTTGACTTGTCCTGATTCAAATTCTCCAATTGTTCTGAGAATAATTTCATTCTTAGTGAAAGTTCATAGATGGCTTTCTTTGCCTTGTTAATTTGTTCGTCATCCAAGAAAATTCGGTGTTTCAGATCTACATACGAGGGCCATCCAGGAAGTAGATTAAGTTTCCGTCTGTGTCCGCTAGGGGCGGGGCTAGCGCGGCCATCTTGGGTCAGAGCGTTGCGCAGCTCAGTCTGCATCTAGCCGTTGCTAGTGAGAGGTTCGTGTTGTGCTCCGTTCAGATACTGTGACGGTTTGAAATGTCGCGTTTATTGAAAATCCCGCGAGCTGCGAGTGCGCTCAGTAATAAGGTTTCTGACTGCAAAACAAAACGATAGAAATCTATGGCAGCTTCGTAAGTGTATGGGGACAACATTATCACTGAAGGTGGTGCGTCATGGGTCAGAAGATTTCAAAATGGCCGAACCAATGTTCACGACGAAACGAAGGGGAGACCCGCTAGTGACCGCCAAACTTCTCGAAAGTCGATGAAGTCCGTGAAAATCGAAATTTCACATAACGGAACTTTCTTTGAGTTTTCCACAAAATTCCGAAGGTTGCACGAAATCATCAGCGAAAAGCTTGGTTACACAAGTTTGTGCAAGATGGAAGAAAGAAGAGGTAACGAAGTGGTGAAGGCGCAGGCGGCCGAATTTTTTCGAAGAAGAAGGAATTCCAAGCTCGTACATCGCTACGATAAATGCCTTAATTTGTATGGTGACTATGTAAAGTAGTATTGAGTGTGGCTTTCATCGTATATATAAAATTTTTCCTACACTTTATTTTTTTATTCCAAAACGTAATCTACTTTCTGGATAGCCCTCGTATATTGAACCCAGGAAGATCTCATTGTCTAGCAAACTAGTTTCTCTTTTCTTCATTGAAGAAATGATTCCTTATACAATAAACACTCCATTTCAGAAAAAACAAATATCACATTCTTCCATGCTCGCCTCCTGTCAATTCTTCAGAGTGCATGTACCCCAGATTAAAAACTACTGGTCTAAATATTTCCAAGTACTACTCTTTTAGTTCTAAGTACAGAGATTAAAATATTCAGAAAAGGAATCTTTAAAATTATTCTTTCTATCATTTAGATAAAAACAACTGTATTGCCAATTTTTAAAGCAAACAGTACAAAATTCTTGAGTAGTTAAAAATATTACCTTTTTTAGACTGGGAAAATATTTTTGATGTACTTTGTTTTTGTTGGCTAAGATTATAACACAATTTAAAATTTTTTAGAGCCTGAATTGCTTTTCAAGCAATATAATACTTTCAGCAGTTTTAAACAAAGTTTATTAAAGCTTCTGAATTGGCAGAACTGCTTTTCTCAGTTATTTGTTTTCATTTGATATTATTATCTCATCATTGAGAATATTTTGCTTTATTTTCCTACAGAATTGTACCATTCTACTAATGGATAATTATGACAACAGAGTAAAATATTACACGAATATAATTAAAAGAAATGCTGTTTAAATACAGATCATGAGCCAATCCAAAAAGTCATGCTATCCAGATTAAAATGTAATTCAACTATTACTTAAATAAAAGACATTTTCCTTTACTATATATAAATGCCTATACCACTAGTTGCCTCATCATTATCAATAATTTCAAAGGATTAATTGTTGATGTCAAATAAAGACATTTTCACTTCCCACATGTTTAATTTCAATCAATTACAAACCTCAAAAGCACAGTTTAAGAACAGCCAAATTTCAGTAGCAACAAGCAACTTTCAAAATCTGAATTCCTATCAACTGCACTAATATGTAGCTACTAATGCAACATTCTCCAGAAACAATTCATAATCATAGCAAATATTCTTATCCATAATAAAGTGTCTTTTCCTGATTATCATTTCATCAAAAAGATAAGTCATTCCTAATTTTTAAACCTGACTAATAAAGTTTTAAGTGACTATATTGTCAAAATCTGAATTCCTATCAACTGCACTAATATGTAGCTACTAATGCAATATTCTCCAGAAACAATTCATAATCATAGCAAATATTCTTATCATAATAAAGTGTCTTTTCCTGATTATCATTTCATCAAGAAGATAAGTCATTCCTAATTTTTTAACCGGACTAATAAAGTTTTAAGTGACTATATTGTTTACATTTTAAGATCAATTTGAATTAAATCTGTAATACGTAGCGTATTCGGAAACTAAGTACAGTTTCATTCTAGCGCCGTCGCAGCGCTGTGGTAGGCGTCCCGTGCATGTGCACTAGTCTTTCTTGTTCACAGACTTTCAATTGTCACCATTTTGGTTGCTCTATGTTGTGTTTTCAGTTTGCTGTGCACATTCAAAATGTTTAAGACAATTAGTTCTCCCACTGACTGCGAGATTCGTGCCGTGATTAAATTTTTTAATGCGAGGAATGTTAAACCGGCCGAAATTTATCGTCAAGTGACAGAAGTTTACGGTGAATATGCGATAAGTGACGGAATGGTGAGAAAGTGGAAAGTGGAATGTTTAATGCAGGTCGAACAAATGTCCACGCCGAGGCTGAGTGTTCGGCTTTCTGTTGTCACCGATGATTTGGTAAGGAAAGTTGATGAAGCAATTCATGAGAACAGACGCTTCACAATGACAACTCTTTCAGAGGCATTTTCATAAATTTCACAAATTCAAAAATTTGTTTTGTTCGAAATTGTGTCTGACCGCTTGAATTATCACAAACTGTGTTCCCGATGGGCTTCCAAAATGCTCACTGATGTTCACAAAAACAAAAGCTTGGTAGTGCCCTGACATTCTCACGCAGTACAGTGATGAGGAAGAAAACTTTTTAAAACCAAATTGGGACGGTGATGAAACTTGGGTGTGTCATTTTCACACCAGAATTGAAACAAAAATCGATGAGGGAGACAACTCATTCTACGAAAAAACAAAAGTTTAAAGTGACAATGTCATCACAAAAAATCATGTGCACTGTCTTCTGGGATACGTGCCATTCAAAACAAACGAAGAGGAATGCTCAGTAAAGGAATTGTGTTGCTCCATGACAATGCTCGGTCCATACTGCGGGTCACTCAATCGTTAATTCGACAGTTTGGTCCGTCCGACTATCACTTGTTCCTGCACATGAAGCGTGAGCTTGGTGGCAAGCGCTTTGGATCTGACAATGACACGAAAATGTGGGAGTCGTGGTTATTGAACTGGCGGGAAGTTTCTTTGACGATGGTATACAAAAACGGTAACCCGCCTATCAAGTTTGATCATTGGCGGAAAATGTTGAAAATAGTTTAAGACTGGATTTCATGAAAAAATAAAATTGATTCGAAAAAATTGTTTTACTATTTTTTTTTTTCAAAACGGTACTTAGTTTCCGAATACGCCTCATTAATATTTTACAATATACTACATGCAAATTTACATGCTTAATCAGTTAAAGCACTAACTTTCCATTAACAGTCAGGGTTGGCTTCAAACATCAGTGATATGCCACCACCAAGGGTACTAATATTTTTAATAGTGCTAATTAAGTTGTGCTCACATGACAGCTAAGAGTTCTTTTTCAATTATTTACATATATTTATTTCATACAGGTAGCCAACCATAGTGATTGTTTAAATGCTGGAGCCGATTTGGTGACGTCAGAAAATATTTTGCTACCAAATGTTAAATCTAGCCAAATGTTTTTTACTGATCATCAGAATGAGATAATCTAATATAATCAAAAGAGCGTTGCCATTAATCCGAAATAATCCTTTACAAAAATACATACTTATAGAAAAAAAAAAGGCAACAGCATGTTGTGAATGCACACAACTAACAATATATGTGTGCTAATAAATAAAAACATTTGGCTACTTTTCATGCTAGTTAAACTATTTTCTGACGCTATCACTAGTGGAAAAGTACTATCAATTGTTTTAAGATATTTTCAATGTAGGAGATTCTGCTTGGTCAAAAAATAGAACAAGTTACAAAACAATATTTTATTAGAACTGCTTCGGCACATTCACTGAACAAGAAAAAGGTCCTTAATTTGTTACAACCCCTGGAATCCAGCCATTGGCATGAATGAAATTAATGGTTACAAGAACTGATCGCACTCAACTTTGGTACACAATGTTGTATGAGAAAAATGGAGATGATGACTTAAGTCTTGTGATAATGCCTTTAAAGCTCATCACGCTTGGCCTGCTCGTCATCTTTTTCTTCCTCCTCATCTTCCTCCTGCGGGGGAAAAACAACTTTGTTAACCCACAACAGACTTAACTGCAATATGATGCTTACCAAAAATATGAGGCCATCGCAACTGAAAATAAAGATACTTGGCCTCTAGCAATCCAAAGGCAAGAACTTTAAGAGAAAGTATGAACATTTACAACTATTTTTAGCACATAAACTTTATAACCATTTTAAATCTTAAAACTTTCTACATATAACTTATATTAATAGTAATATCACTATTGAAAACTTTTTGTATTAAAAAATGTTTCAAAATATTCTTTATGGCATTAAATTTTATCAATAACCTTCAAACATTTTCATAAATTAGTATTAAAATATATGATTTAAATATCCAACAGAATTATAAGATCTTTTCTAAACTCTCTAGAAAATTTCCATTAAAATAGGAGCATTGAGCTGCAGATAAATCCTAATACTAACAATCCATCAATATTACAGATATTCCTGATAGTCCATTAATCATCAATAGCCTAGTATTAAGACATTCAGAATGGAATAAGCTTATCAGCATATACTGAGTCCCACAGATGTCAGGGGACAACCTGTAGAATACTATAATATCCACTAATCAACACTTATGTAGCTAATAATAATCTTACAATTGCAATGCAAATCAAAATGTGTTACACAATATGACATCATATGGCTTGTATAATTATTCCATCCAAAAGGTTAAATAAATATAAAAAAATAGGTTATAAAAGGTTAATGCAGAAACACATTAAACTTTTAATGCAACACTAAAAATTCAGGCAGGGTCTTTTTTCATAATTTTAACTCACCACTGTAATGGGCATATTTTGATGTCTTCGTATTAAAAAAATGTTTGAACGTATTTTTACTTGTGTGTATTTGAAATAATTTAGTTCCGTGTACCTGAGGCAATTTATTTGCATGCATCAAGAGGTTAACAGATTATATTGCCATATAGATCTTGGTATTTGTCAGTTATTCGATATATAGATAAGAATAAAATTTCTTTAAGATAAAAAAATTTGGATCTAAAATTCCATAAAGATTTAGCTATTTTTAGCAAATATTTTATATTTTGCAGAGATAAATGACAACAGAATTTGAAATCTTGCACGGATCTTTGGTTATGCAGCCTTGAATTTATCTTTTAGTCAACATTCTCATGATTAATACTGTTTACAATTTCTAATAAAGTTCAAAAATAAATTAGATCTTTGTGAAGACTTATAATTTAGTTTGAATGGAAGCAAATGAAGCTTTCTAACAGGTAAAAGCTTCATTAGGGCAAGATATTTAAATCAATTTTTCTGAAAATATGAAAACTCAAGGAAATTCCAAGACAGATTAAAATATTTCAGAACTACTAATTTCAAAATGAAAAGTAAATGCAGCATGAAATAACCTTTAAGTTAACATTTCTGTATTCCAGATCCATAAAACATATTAAAATGGCACAGCTCAAAGCAAAACAGAATTTTATCTCGCATTTTTCAGATGCTCATTCTCCAAAATTTAATTTTATGCTAATATTTCAGTAAAACTGTCAAACACTTCATACTACGCAATTTTAAGTATTTAAAAATACCACTGAATACGAAAACTTAGTTTCAACATCATATTCAATATGGTGAATTATGTGCAATGATTTTAAGCAACACCACTGAACTTAAAATTTGAATTTAATATTCCCCCAGATTTCAAAACATGGTATACTTGAAACTATTAATAAATATGCCCCGATATAAGGAACAATTTAAAAGCTAATAATGTTAATGTTACTATTAATAGAAACATCAAAATATCAATAAATGCAAATAATTCTTAAATAGTTCATTTGGTTACATTGATAATCAAATACACCATTTCACAATGGAAATTAAAAGATCTCATGTCACACAAACTCATAACCAGGAAACAATTTTCATATCAAAATGATAAACAGCTCTTTCAGATATTAAGATAATGCCTTTTTTCTGAATTTGGTAATCTTATTGCAATGCTAAATAGTTGAAAAATGGACTTTTATTGATTGCTTTAGTTTAACACAGCAAATTCACAATTACACCACTTTATTACGAAAATTAAACAATTTTCTTTTATGAACACATGTCTCTGAAGAATTAATATTTAAATCACGAAATGAAATTTACTCTTAACCAGTTGCACTATAATGACATGCCACGCACGTCGAGATGCTTTTGTCTCAAACCGTGAGCGACGTGAACACCACGTCGATAGGCATTTATCGCAAAAATGAAAATAACATGGTGCACACATCGCCTAACAATGAGATTGTTTATTTCTCAAGTTACAGCTCTGGATTGCACTCGCACATGCAGAGCGGCATAAATGAGACACTTTAACCCTTGTTATATTGTAGCGCAAGTGGTTAAAATATCAAATTTTTTAGATCATCAATCATTTAGTGCTAATTTTGTTAAAAAGGATCAATGCTAATCCAAAGTGAAAATGTTAAAGAAACTTTTAAATCATGCATAAATAATAATACCCAACAGACACCAATAAAGAAAAGTGTAATGCTGAAGAACATGCAAATTACCTGAAGAAATAAAAGCTAAAAACACAAGCAATTAAATTTCACATTCAGTCACCCAAAGCAAGAAACATGCTAAAGAAATTTTATTACTTGTAGCTTATATTTGTTTATTTACTTTTAATAAAGATCATGTTCACTTCCATTTAAAATTTAGTTTAATGCAAAACATTTACATTTTAACCCTTTGACTACTAACGGGACTCAAAGTTTAAAAATTACTGCTGGGTTAAAAAGTACTTAGAATCTACTGAATGCTGGAGATAATCTTCCAATAGTTGAAAAATCAAGGCACTGCTCTGAGCTTGTACACCAATAAACACAGAAACGAACAAATATGAGTTGCCCAATGTGTGATGTTGGGTTATGGTAAAGAATGCTTTATCCTGTAGTATATGATGTAAAATCTATTTCATATAATAAAGTTTTCCAGAATAATGGGCATACTTATAGTAAGTCTATCACTACGCACGAGACTTATGAATCCCAACATTAATTAAGGCTGGGGAATAGGTGTCCCAGGCTTTGGCTTGAAAACTGTAAAAAAAATCTCAAATGCTAAATTTGCTTTATTTATGGCATATTTTGTTTACTTGGATAGAAAATGGAGTAATTTTTTTTAATTCATAGTCAAAGGGTTAAGAGTTAAATAATCTGATAATTTTAAAATTTTCAAAAAATAAACATTTCATAAGCTACAATCAAGAGAAAGTAGTTTGTTAGTAGCTAACCTCTTCTTTAACAGCTGCCCCATCAACGCCACCAGTATCAATAAACCTGCTAATTCCTTCAAGTGTGCGTTCTCCGTTGAAATCAACCACCTATTTAAAAAATAAAAAATGCTAAATCAGAACACAAATGTACATAACAAAGCAATTTACCTTATCTGGAGCTGCTTTTCCATATTCTCCACCAGTTTCTATAAACCTACTAATGCCTTGAAGAGTACGTTCGCCATTATATTCTACTACCTACAGAAAATCCATATTACATTTACAAAAGCATACATCATGACATGATTCTATTTCAGCCTAATAACTGGGTAACAAAAAAACATAATGCTACGTAAAAATCTGAAGACTTTAGCCCAGACTAATTAGTGTTTATTACATATAATTAAAAAATATTTAACATGTCACTATTTTATTTTCAAAACTTTTAATCACTAACATGCATTCTACATACACCAATATCACTGCAATTGTTCCGAAATTTTAATTCTTAAAATTTTTAATTTCAACTGTTGACACCTAAAATAGCAATCCTTTCAGGTCTGAATATTTACATACTATTTCATTATGCATTTAAAATAACTATTGGTTACTTATTCTACAAAAAGAGAATGCAAGTAATATTTATATTAACGCTTTTTGTTCTTTAGTTAGCTAACTTGCAATTTACACTGGCATTTTCATGAATAACAATTATTTCAAAAGAATAAACGTTTTAAATCTGATATTTAGACTTTCTAAGTTCTTTGGATTTTTTAAAAATTTATAGCTTTAATTATATTAAAACAGCAAATTTATTGTATGTTCTATTTCTATATACACATTATTTTGATGCAAATTTCAGTTTATGCAATTTTTTTAAATGAGTAATTGATTAATTCTTCAAATTAAGTCTCTAAGGAAGCAGATCTTATTCATAAATAATATAATATTACTAATATTTCAAATTTAATTCAAATGCTTTAGGATTAATAATTTTTAGTCAAGATTCTTAAGTTTACTTGATTATTAAATGCAAAATCACTTAATATATATACAAATATGTACATGGCTTTAAACAAATTTTCCTCAGCTAATTAAATCTGCTTTACAGTTAATCTGTATACCACACCCAAAAATGTTGAAAAAGAAAAACCAGAAGTATACTGGGTGGTTTTCAGAAGAACTATATGGTAACTAAAAGTCACTTTATAATACATGACTTAGATTACTGAACAATTTACAAAATGATTTTGATATATAAAATGGATAACATTTAAATAGTCCAAGTTTTATGTTCTTTTGTTAATTTCCTTTTCTAATTATATTACACTTTTATTCTAAGAAAATCTTTTAATTATCAAAGTAATTTTACATACTATAAAAGTGAAATTAAGTATACATATTACTGTATGGATAAACTTACTAACATATTATTTTATGTATAAACTTAGTATACCATTATCAACATAAAACACAATTAAATACAAATATTAACTGATTAAACATTAGTTTTAATCTTGATAAAAAGTTCTACAAATGTCTACAGTAGACAACAATTATGTCAAATTTATTAAGAAAAATTATGTTGAAAACCATTAAGGGGTGGAAGAAAATATCTTATCTATTGCTGGGAAGTATTTTCCTTGATAAAGGCTAAAAATAAAACCCTGGAGGTTCTACGAGCTACCAGGAGATGTGTTAAAAACAAGGAGAGTTTGTAGCTATTGCACACATATGTTTGGAAGCCTCAGTTGAAAGTACATAGAGACATCAAATGCTTTTCTTGATTTACACCTCCTGTGTAGCAACTATTTCTCATCCACTGATAACCATAATATTGAACACACTAAAGTACTCCTGTCTTTCTCTCTTTAAAGTGGAGCTGAGTGTGCAACTATGGACAGCATAACAATATTTCAAACATCACGTTGCGAGATAGTGGTGTCACCACTAGTGATATGCTATTCATTTGTGGACTGAGTCAAAGAACTTATTTTGAACAAGCAAATACTGAGTCATCAAAAAACAGCGACCATTAACAACTCTTGGTAAAGTGTGCCAAGAATGCTCACTTCCCATTTCAGAGGAAAAAAGAATATTTATCCTCCTATGTTAAAAGCGAATCTATTATTCCCATTTTATTTTCATTCATCTTTTTTTAACATTCCTTTATTCTAGAATTATTAATTCTATATAGAGAGGAGGTTTTAAGAAATCCCAAAATTACAGCTGAAGACAATCAGACTCTTCCGATATGACTGCTTGTTTGATTCTTCCAGATTTTGCTACATTCTCACCCACTGATCTTTAAGCATTGCTGATGCCTTGCCCATTCCCAATTTTATAGATATTATTGTTAGGGAGCCACAATTTGGAGAAAATGAGAAATAACAAATTCAGCTCAACGAATGGTCCACATATAATCCCATAAAAAACGGAATTTTGCCCACACATTTTAGCAAGAGATATTCTGAAATAATCACTTATTTACCTAAAAGAGAAATATGAAAAAGAAAATACAATATCCATCTTTTCCTTCTCGCAAAATGCTTTTAAGTTAAAACCATTTTCTTATTTAATAATCCATTTAGACATTACTACATAAGATTTTAATTATCCAGTAATAGAAGGTATTGGAAACTGTTTTTAAAAATGTTTTCTACCTTTTATACACTGACTACCAATAAGTATTTGGACACCTGTGATAGAAAAGAAAAACTAACTTTATTCAAAATCAAGTTGGTAGAGCCTCCACGAGAGGTAATTACAGCATGGACCCTCCGGGGCATACTTTCCACAAGTCTTTGTATGACAGCTAGTTATATTTTCTTCCACTCGGCTTGGAGAAGACATAGAAGTTCCTTCACCAATTTTGCACGGATGGTGCACCCCTGAATTCGGCGATGCAACTCGTCCCAGAGGTTCTCGATAGGGTTCAGGTCTGGACTCTGGGCAGGCCAGTCCATTCGATGAACTGCACTGGCACCATACCAAGCCTTGGTTAATGTCGAAACATGACAACTGGCATTGTCGTCCCTGAAAGTAACAGGGGTCCAACCCGTAAAACTGCCACAACGTAGGAAGCACATTGTCATCCAAAATAGTGCAGTAGGCATCGGAATTGAGCTTACCATGAATGGAGACTAAAAGTCCCAGCCCATACCAGGAGAAACACCCCCAGACCATAATTCCACCTTCGCTGAACTTGACTGTTGGCACAATGCATTCTGGCAGGAGACTTTCTCCAAGTAGACACCATACCCAGATCCTGCCATCCGAACGGTAAAGGATGAACCTTGATTCGTCACTCCAAAGAACCGATTTCCACTGGTCTACGGTCCAATTTCGATGTGCTTTGCACCACATTAACCGAGCAGCGCGGTTGCACTTTGTGATCAAAGGCTTATGGGGCAGCAGCACGACCATGAAATCCAAGCAGATGTGCTTCCTTATGGATGGTATTCATTGAAACAATACTCCCAGATGCCTGTTGAAGCTCCTCGTGCACGAGGGCCATAGGTTGAGTGCTGTTTTCCCGAATTTCTTTGGACAGCACTCGTCGGTCTCTATCTCCCAGTTTCGTTGGTTTGCCGACTTGTGCACATTCCGGCAATCACTGCTCACTTTTCACTTCTTAATCACATAGGCCACTGTCGATTTTGGGTACTTCAGATCGCTAGATATGTCCCTTAAGGATCTGCACATTTGTGATACCCAATAATTATACCTTTCTCGAAATCAGAGAGCTCCAAACTGCGAGGCATCTTGCATGCGACTAAAGCCGATGCCGTTTCCTACACGATATATACCGACGGAGTCCGTGACGTACCTTAGGACCGCAGATATCGTCATTTGCATAGGTGTCCAAATACTTATTGGTAGTCAGTGTACTAAATATTTCAAATAAATTTTTAAACTTCAGATAAACTTCAAAACATTTACAATTTAAAAAAATAGGTACTTACTTCATTTGTATCTTTTTTGTACAACTTGATTGTAGGGAAACTGTTAATCTTGGTATGTTCTAATTCATTTGCAGTAGCATCCATCTTTGCAATTACGATATCAGCTTGGTCTTTGTACTTTTCACCCAGTTCATCATATATTGGAGCAAGCTGTTTACAATGACCACACCATGGAGCATCTGGTAAATTTTAAAAACCTTCTATTACTGGATAATTAAAAAGTACAAACTAAAAGAAAAGATTTCACAAAATTTACCTTTTGGCTTCAGAAAACACTTAAACAAAAGTCTTGAGCAATATAAGCAAATTCCAAAAGGAAATGCAGAAAATATACTTAAAAATTGAAGGCCTTGGAGCAAAAAGGACCCAGCTCCACTTGGGAGGTGGGCCCTTTTTGTGTTCATGGATCTTTTTTTTTGCTTTGTATTGGAGTAAAAAGCCATTGGAGCAGCCGTAAAAAAATTACTATTACTAGCACTTTTGACGAGGATGAATGTTTAAAATAAAAGTTAAAAAATAAATTTTTAAAATCCTTAAAATTTTCTGAAAATTTAAAACTGTGGAGCTGGGCTCTTCTTACTACAAGCCCTTCAATTACAGTATATATTATTCAGACTTTTAGGAATACACAATGATTTAATTTTATATAAATAAAGGCTGAATAATTGCATATAAAACAAAAATTAAGAGAACTTCAAAATTTCCAAAATCTGTTAAAAATTACTCTTAATGCTGTAGTTTTTTACTAAAACATCTTAAGATGAATCAAAATGCTAAAATCTGAGGGGGGCAGAGGAAAACACAACAAATCTATTTTAATTATTTAATCATGAAGGCTGTTGAAACTACCTTTTGCCTAGAAGTAAACATTAATTCCAACACAAGGAAATTTACAGTATCTTGGAAAAATAATTTATATTTCCAAAATTAAAATTGTTTTAAACTGGTTTTTACAAAGCTTTAAAAAACTTGCTTTCAGAAAAAGGATTTCACTAAGTACCAAGTTGAATCCTTTTAACAAAACACTGCTCATGATTCATCAGTTCAGATTATTATACAATTTTATTTATTGAAAATCTGAGGGGGCAGAGGAAAACACAACAAATCTATTTTAATTATTTAATCATGAAGGCTGTTGAAACTACCTTTTGCCTAGAAGTAAACATTAATTCCAACATAAGGAAATTTACAGTATCTTGGAAAAATAATTTATATTTCCAAAATTAAAATTGTTTTAAACTGGTTTTTACAAAGCTTTAAAAAACTTGCTTTCAGAAAAAGGATTTCACTAAGTACCAAGTTGAATCCTTTTAACAAAACACTGCTGATTCATCAGTTCAGATTATTATACAATTTTATTTATTGAAAAATGTATAAAGTATGAAAAAAGATTTATGCATTTGAAAGTCAGATGATTTCAGCAAAACCTAGATGAAAAGGTCACACAGAATGTGTCTATGGCATTAGTGATTTTTTAGATTATGAATGATAAGACCTTATTTGCCTCATGTAAACATTAGATTTACAAAATAATAAGAAATAGAACTTACAAAATTCAACTAGAACATTCTTTGTTTTATCAAATACTACTTCATCGAAATTTTTTCCAACTAGAATTTTCACTGGTTCTTTGTCCCATCCTTCAGGAACATCCTCAGAAAGCAAGTGTTGCTATATGCATAAAACAAACATTTAAAATTTCATTTTGATAAAAAAAAAACTTCTCTAAAATTAACGTGATTTTTTTTAGTAAAATGGTTATTAAACCATTTAGCTACTTCTCAATAAATATTCATTACAGTATGTTAACATTCAAACTGGAAGAATTCGGACATTTTTGAGTTCTTACTAAATTATATATATGGCACATATGATGAACCCCTTAAGTCAAATTGTCATAAAAATTTAAAAACCCTCTGCATAATTAATACAATTATGTAATGCTAAATATTAACTACAAAAGATAATACCAGCAAGAAATACTAGATTCCAAATAAGCTGAAACTAAAAGCACATAAAAAAGAAATCAACTGTGTTGTCCCCATATACTGAAAAGCTTTTTCCACCTTTAAATAGTTTTGGCTTCAAAATTTTTAAATCTGATTAAAGCATTATGTATCTATAAATTTCTCTCCCCCTTTCTGTTAACCCAATTAATATGGGCCTGCTTAATCCGAAAAACCTCAAAATTAAATTTATAGCAAAAGCTTGTGCTTAGCTGATAACAAAAATATTAATATTTAAGGCACAGGTATAGTCTCAATAATTAAATACAGGTCATTTATTATACTTACATGAATCATTCATTTTGACCTATCTATGCCTTCCAAAAAAAATAGTTACAAATAACGTCAACATAGAATAAAACTAATCAATTATGATGAAATAACAGTTATATTCTGAAAAATATGCGAGGCTCTGGCTACCAAAAAATTAAAGTGCTGTTATTAAGCAAGTTTTATACGAAGTCAAACATTCAACAAAATACAAGATTTCAAACAAAATCTATTTCCTTACAACAGTCACTTTTAGAAATTTTTCCTTGCATTAAAAATTATATTTTACAATATACAAAAGTTAAATCTATAACATTATTAAAATTAAATACACAAATCATACAAACCTTTATCTTTCCTTCTAAAACACCAGTAACAAATCCTCTAATATCACTTTCTTCAATTCCTGTAGTAGTAGGTTTGAATTTAGTCATTTCATCTTCTAGTTTAATCAGCCTCATGGTAGGTGCCTCTTCTTTTTTAAGACCAAAGAATTCCATGATTCTCTCATGATCTTCATCATCAGTATTGATAGTAACAAAAAGAACTTTGCCTTTGAATTCTTTAGCGACTTTACGGAAGGTTTCAATTTTGCTTTCATAATCTGAGCTTCCTTTGCTGATGAACAGTAAGTTATGGGCTTTAATATCACCGCCAAAGATTTTCTGAGCTGTCTGTAAAGAGGAAGTATATTTAAGAAAAATATTGATAACTAATAAAAGCTGAGCATAATATCTTTCATAATTTATCCAGAATATTTCAGCAACTTTTTAGCCTACAAGCAGTTACTTGTTGGAGAGCTAAATATTAAGACTATTTCTTATTTTAGCGTTTTGGCAAGAAGTAGCATGATATGGTTTGTAGATTTTTTTTTTTATAACTGAAGAATTAATACCTAAAGGTTAAAAAATGGTTTTCATTAACATATTGCAAAACAGTTTGAAGCAAGTATTTTTCAGAAATAAATTTTATAATATTTATACTTAAATCTAAAAACATGCCACAACAGCACTATGCATCTGCATGGTCTCAAAATAACAAGCAGGAGTTTCACATTTTTTAAATATCAAAATAAAAGGCAAGATTCAAAATGTCTATTCTGCATTAAAAAAATTTACAGATGAGGAATAAAATTTTAATTGAAAAAAAAAGACCACAGGAAATATTCAACATGAAAGAACTAGCATGTCAATGGATTATGTAATGTTTTACAGTTACTTATCTTACAAATCATCATAACAATTCTAACATCCTTCAGATTTTTATGATATTTTAATAAATGTGTCAACTGACTAATTATTATAAAAATATTTCGCACTATTTACAAGACAGCTTTTTAATGCAATTTGAACTCTGATTGCTTAGATACATTTCAAATGATGCTTTCCATTGAAGCCCTTTTTTTATTATTTATATTTTTGTACCAAATGAAATTTTAATATCTCCTGTTAAAATGTAAAAACACCTTTTTCAGCAGCAAATGAAAACTCTGCTTTTGAATAGCAAACATCTTTTACATGTTGTGTCTTCAGTACTAATACTAGGCACAATAACAGATCAGACTAATATTCCTATATGCAAATACAGAAATTGTTATTTTCCATTCAATTACTTCTAAAATTTTTTGTTTTGATTATATTTTAATAACTTTTACATATACTACATAAAGTTTTGCCTAAAAATTACATCGCTCTGTACTCTGAACTCTTACATGCACTTAACCAGCACCATTTAATACGGCTATGAGCTTGTATGCACTCATTATCAAGAATGCATATGCGACTACATTTGGAAAACTTCCATTGGGGGCTGAAATGCAAACATATGCAATCCACATGTCTTTCTAGTTTTTGAAACTGTCATTTTGTCTACAATTTCAAAAGATTAACTGTTATTGATAAGTTTCAAGAATAGGATTCATATTTATAACCAAAGAATATTTTTAGGATTGCAATAACCCAGTTTTAATTTTTTTTAATTGAGGGCTCTAATCAAATTTTAGAACTTCAGCCCAACAGCACTTTGCCACAATAAGCAATATAAAGATACAACACATGACTAACACAGAAATCAGCCAATGAAAATGAGCTCCCAATTTTAAATTCTTATTCAAGATTTTGCATTTAATATTCATCTTCATTTAAATTTTTAAACTTTATTTAGCAGTGACATACAAAAAATTACCTTTAATAATATTGCCAAATAAAACCCTAAAACAGTAAAATAATTAGTTAAATTATAATCAGTTTTCAACCAGTTCATTAACAATACTTAGACTAGCATTTAACAAAGCTCCTAAATTTTGCCATGCTTTAAAATGTCTAGAAAAGCAGGAGCATAAGAGATGTGCCTAAGCCATAAATAAATATTAAGTTTTTATTTTACAAATAGCTATGACAAACACAATTTATCAGTAAGTTTTTAGCATGTTTTTTTTTTTTTTTCTTTTCATCATCAACAATACTTAAACAGTAAAATAAGACCCATCAGGTTTTTGGCAGACTTATTAAACTGAATGCTTAATTCTTTCACAGTGAAGTCACCTGAGCATTCAAACCACACCAGGTCTTCCAAAGCCAGAGTCTATTTTCTGCCTGGTGATAGCTGTGTTATCGCAATTTGAAAAACTGCACACAGTGGGTGAAACCACACAAAGATTCCCAAGAAAGAAGTAATCACTTATGTAGGTTATTGTTAAGGCTGCAGCATTCTACTTAGCATGGAATAAGAAAATCTGTTATAACAAAAAATCGTATATATGGGCATTTCAAATATTTGAGAAAAACAAATTTTGGCCTCACCGATGCAAAAACGTTAATGCAAGTTGATCAGTAATGAGCATGGCAGAAACCTTTCATTCTGATGTTTCAATTTAAGCACTTCAAGAACAGCTTTTAACAAATAAGAAACCATCATTATAAAAGTTAATACTAGCATTAATAAACTAAAATACCATGAAGGTAGGAGTTTGATTTGCTTAATGATAGTGACACAATTGGTGCTCCAATTATAAGAGTACTAGAAATTATTTTCCACTTTTCCCAAACTAAAAAAGATTATAAAGATGTTGAAGCCTATATTATGCTCGGACACAATATAAAATTCCTGTCTGGGCAAACATTAGCCAACTTAGAGAAATTATAACATCTTTACTATAGGATATTATCATGCAATGTCCCTTACATAATACAGTTGAAAAGGTGGAAAATTTTTTAAAGTAAATTACAGACAATAACTAAACAATATCCACCAAAAATCCAAAAACAAGTTAGCTAAACTTTTACAGCAGAAACAATTGATATTCACAGATTGGCAACAAACTTAATACGGCACCTGTTGTTATCTCAGTTTTGGATATTCACTATGCTGAACACTCAAAAATTTAACAGAGTAACAAAAAATATATTTATTATATATTAAAAAAAATCCTACAAATTGAAGGGTAACAATAGAAAAAGAATACTTTGTTTTCATGACAAAAGACTTAAAATGTTTCAGTTCCTCAGTTATATAAGTTTCAACTGCTTTCAAGATATTTTTAGTGACAGCAAAACAAATATCTGTTTTTGATTAGCTTGATTAAATTCACCTGCTTTATAAAATTATGATAAACAGACATTAGAAACAGGACAATCAACAAAATCAAGGTAATGCATTTTCTAGTTATTTTCCTTTTAATTAGGAAAAGAAATTCCAATAATCTTACTTTCCTTTTCTATTAAATCTTTACTTACACATCCAAGTATTCATAAAGCTCAAACACCTTTACAATATAGCCAGGTATAAAGGTTCTGGCACTTTCATGAAAGACAGTTTTTAACATGGGAGAAGCAATCTTCACAAAGATATCAGCACCATTATGCCATGAAAGAAATCAAGGTAATGTATTTTCCAGTTATTTTCTTTTTAAAAAGTAAGAAATTGAATTTTCCAATACACAAATAGGATTTTTCTAATAAATCTTTACTATTAAAATAATTCATTTAATTTCACAAGCAAGTATTGAAAAGGCAAACAGCTTTACAATAAAGGCAAGTACACAAGACTTCCAAAAATTAAGGAACAGCATATTTTTCAAAGCTCACCATAATAAAAGTGTGTAACATCACACTTCATATACATGATAATGATGAAGTTTCAGAACATGTATGAAAAAACAATAGCTATCACTTCCATTTTATCAAAATGAATACTTGGAGTTGGAGAAAAAATTGCAAGTTTGGTTCACAAGTGTTTATCTTCAATTGTTATCGGCAATTTTGTTGGCAATACCATGAGAGTATCAATTTCCAGATAATCTGCTGCCATTTTAGAACTTTAATAAAATGAAAATCAATTTCATATTTCATGTGGATAGTGAAATTGATTTTAATGCAAAATCACTTTCACTATCCACAATAAAAACCAGAAGTATTTTAGGAAGTCCCAGTGTAGTTTGCCATGTCCCGTGTAGAAGTTAAACCAATGTGTACAAGATACACTAGTTCACTCCTGCCAAAGCTGTGACATGAGCCTAGTTAGTCTGACATTAACAGCCAAAATTGTTTTAACGAGCTGAAGTTAGGTTGATCACTTAAAAATTTAATAGGATAAAACTAAGCTATTTTATCAAACTTTATAAAATAAATGGAAAAATGCTACTTGAGTAGGAAATTTTTAATAAATTTATATAAAACAATTTGCTTTCTTATATTCAAATGAAGATTAACAGGTAATACTATTTAAATGCTTTCCTTACATATATATATATATATGTAATTCAACTTTCTTAGAGTTGTATTAAAATACCAAAAACTTCACGATAATATATAAAAGTTTAATAAATCATACATACTTCATGGCTAAATTCAACCACTAGAGGCAAGCTATTAGATTTCAAGAATTTTTTCAACTCCTCTTCTGATAATTCACCTTCATAGGCATTCCTTCCTTCATCAAACTAGAAAAATTCATGATAATAAGTATGATTTGATATCTATTTAAAATATAAATTCATTAAAATTAAGTTAAAAAAAATGATTCTTGGAACTCCTAACATTCTGAACAACATTCAGAAGAAAAATATCTGAAATGTATCAAGTATTTCAAAACAAACATAAATTCAATTTTCAGCATTTTTAATGAGCCATGATAAAAATGAGAGCTAAAATTAACAGAATCAAATTAGCTCTTTGGTGAATTATTTGACAACTATTTTAAATCATTTTTATTAACCAACACTTGTATGCTGTCGTAAAAATTAAAATTTCTCTAATTAAACTTTCATTTTAATATAATTAAAGTTAAATGCTCCAAATACATTATTCTTAAGAAATACTATATTTTTATTTAACACTATAAATACTATATTACAAACGTTAATATTTTTACTTAAATACTAATATTTTTAATCCTTTCAAGATGACACACCGTTGTTTAAGACATTTCATTAGGATAGATAGGAGTCTAAAGGAATCATCCTATAGATGGGGTTTTGCATCAGCAAGCCTAACTTTAGAAAAAATTTTAATTCAAAAGTATTAATTTTTTCCATAATTCTTATTTAGGCTATCATATACATTAAAATTAGCATTTCATAATCTTTTTCCTTTACTTTACATAAAAATTGCTTACTTTGAGAAATAATTTTTGGAAACTATATTCAAATTATTCCAAGGTTTTTAAATGACAAAATACTTTAATAAACTGCAAAATTAATTACGAAAATATAAGAAAGACTAGTAACTAAATCTTTCACTGAAAACAGAAGGGCTCAATGAGCTCAGTCTCTCACAAAATGTCCGTATCACAATCACTAGAAATATTCTCCAGCACTTCAGAAAATGAACAATCGGTCTCATCCATGTCAATAATTGGCTCAATTACAATGCGAGTATTTCTTTTCTCTGATAAATAATGCTTGCTTGCCATAATAAATAAGACAAGCCTTTCCAAAATAAAAGAAGCACACGAAAGATAAGCAAGGCAAAGTACAATAGAATTCCACTATCGCATGGCGAGTAAAAGAGCCGAGAACTGTTTGTTTACATTACACTTTCCCTTCTCCCCTGCAACAGCCAACACCAAAGTTATGCAGAATGTAATCAAACTGAAAGTTGCAATCCTAAAACTATGTTCGGTACTTTTCCATTTTGCCGAGGCAGGCAATAAAGTCGCCAAGAATGGTACAGCCGATGCCAAACGGAATATCCTCGCTGGTAACATTTTACACTTCATTTTCAAAATAAGTCGCCACCATTTCTTATCAGGTTGTTTCTTTCAATACTGGCAAACAATTACATAGAATTTTTACCAGATAGTTCAGTTTTATGCTCTAAGGCCATTCATGGTAATTAAGTCAATTAAGATGCAATTACAGCACTCACCCAAAAATATAGAAAAGGTAAAGTCAAGGGTTAAATTCATCAGTTCTAATGAGAATGCACTGGCGAAGTAAAGCACTGCGGTTTTACATAATTTCTGAGTAAGCTATCCGTACGAATTGGAATAATTCTTGCATTTAAACTTGGATTCCATATTAAGATTTAATTTGAAATTAACGTAGATAATTACTGAGAGAATTAGATTTTCATAGCTTAGTTTACGTGAGGCGAGATCACTTGGGGTCATGTGATATGAACTGGTGAATCAGGATATTGTACCATAAAAGCATAGTAAATTCTTAAATTAACATCTACAAATTTATTGTCTTCATTTATAGTCTTTTTACAAAATTTTAAATGATATTAAAATGTTCGTGCCTTCAAAATAAAAAAATTCTTAGAACTAACATTTGTTAACATTTTTTATATGCATACTGTGTGTTGCCACCAATAAAGTCTGCTTGGCGAGATTTGTGCCGGCGAAACGGAAAAGTACAATATGTTCAATTCAAAAGTAATGGACACAGGGCGGCATCTAGTGATCTTTAAAAAATGGTTCAGCTTAAAATTCGCATACGCAATCACCTGTCCCAGAGCTCAGTCTCCAGTGACGCATGGATGGGACACATCACTCATCTTTTGAGCTCAGTCTCCAGCGATGCATGAATGGGATGCCCAACTGTGACAGATGTTAATAGAGAATGTATATATGGGACGTCCATCCGGAAAGGATTAACATGCATTATCATAATGATCGATATGAATAACAGATTTATCCTATTCACTTTATTATAACCTCTTACAGATTTTTAAAGAAACTTGTATGTTAAAAATTATTATTCATTAATTCCATTCCATCACAAAAACTTGAAACATGTGTATCAATTTAAACTAATCTTAATATTTCTTACAGTTAATTTCATAGTACATAAGGTAAAAAACTGAAAATAAAAATATATGCATTTTTTCTAAGAAAACTAAAATTACACTTGTGCACAAAAGAGAATTTGCAAATTATGTCTATTTTTATGAAAAGTATTGAACTGATGTACTAATTATGCAAATATTCAGAGCAATCCATAAGCATGCAAGCAGATGTAAGCATACTTGTGCACTGCTGCAATTCTCAGTAGTGCTAACAGATAGTGACATGAGCAAGCAACTACATACCAAGCACGCACACCACCACGTGATCGCTACAATGGATATTGTGGTCACAATGCAAATCAGTTGCCATAACATGAATGCTAATCCGTTTCTATAAATATTTACAATGCAAAACCAGACATTCTTCATATGGTAAGCACGAAAAGAGATAGCACAGGTGCCTCATTGACAGACATAGCAGGAGAGAAGGTGAGGGTTGAAGTGAGACAGCAGTGTCACTTCTACTGAACTAAAATACGTTCACTACACCTGTAATGATTTGTGCAGGCATTATGCTGAAGAGCTTTACACCCCCACATGTGTTTGGCAAAGGTCCCCGACTGCTATGAGGTACAGAGAGGAGATCTTAGAGCCGTACATTCAATTTTCTAAGAATGCATTTTATCCTGTTAATGGATGACAATGCTGTTAATGGATGACATACAGGGATCAGCTGATCAATAACCTGGAAAGCGAGGATATTCGCCGCATGAATTGGCCAGCCATATGTCCTGATTTTAACCTTATAAAGCGAGTCCAGGATACTCATAGGAGGACAATTTCATCTCGCAATCCCCTTCCAAGAACTATCCTGGAGTTAAAAACTGCTTTGCTGCATAAAGTGGGATAGTCCCTGTGGGATAGACTGCCACAAGGACTCCTAAACTGCCTCCTGTCCAGTATGCCATCACAGTGCATGGCCTGTTTGGCTGCAAGAGAGCGATACCCCGAATTATTCATTTTCAGTTCGATATCCCAATGTGCATTTTAAACATCCCTGCACTATCAGCTTTATGGATAATCTTGTATACATAAAATAACTTTTGAATGGTACATCTCTTTCTCTTTTGTAAATATATATTCATACCAAATTTAATTAAAATATGTTTAGTTTTTAGAAATTCAACATAATGTGCACACTCTTAATTTTGCACACGAGTGTAGTAATTTTTAAAGTTCCAACTACAGAAAAATAGACATCCTTCAAATTAACATTTAATAAAATAGGTTTTTATGGGAAATAAAGGTTATATCCAGAAGATTCTTCATAACAAAAGTAAACTTTACAAACTAGACAATTTAGAAATTTGTTAAACAAAAAGTTAAAAAAAAAAAAATGGGTTGAGATATATAAAGACACCTTTTCAAATTGAAAACACAAAATCGGAAGTAAAATAACACCTACTGAAATTTTTATATATTTTAAATATACATTAGTATTTCTTGAGGTACTTATATGTATTATCACAATTGACAATGAAGCTGCCTGCAAGGGAAGCAGCAGTTTAATGCCAATTATTGATAAACATAACATAACCACTTGTCACATCTGCACTTCTGTTTGATGTAAAGGATTTAAATTAACTGGTATTGGCCATCCTTTTTTTTTTTTTTTTTTGGATTAAAAAAAAAATTAAGTTTCGAGACCTGCCTTAAATACAATAGCAAGCAGCGAAACATTTTCAAAGCTATGAAATCTTGCTATCAAAAAGATGTGTATTAATGGATATGATATGGTCAGCTGAATATGGCCAACAAAACAACAACAAATTCAAACTATTACCAATATTCGTTGTGTTCGGAAAAACTGACAGGCTTAACAGAATAGTGGAAACTGGCGAAAGCCTTTTCATGCAGCTAAAAAATCAAGCAGGTTGATTGATCATTTATTAAATAAAAGACATTTATTCTTTCAGAATTCTACAGAAATGACTAATGCAACTTTGGGGGGGATCCAAATCAACTTTTATGGTTCAATAGTAGTTAACTATTTCAGACGACGGCTCAATTACATAAGTACTTTCTTCTGCTTATAAGGTGTAACTTACTGCCAAACATAAATGTCAAAATTACAACACAACCTAACTAAATGGCGACATACAAAGCTTCATAAAAAGAACACCAGTTTTATATACAATGAATATAATATGCAGAATTTTTAATGTATTTTTAATGTAAAGAATTTTTAATGTATAAAGCTTATGGCTGTACACGATACCAAATCTGAGCTAATCTAGGATTATTTTTAAGCGAGAGCAGATCACTATCATCAGAAGAATGAAACTTGTTCTTCTGTACACAGTGACCCGTTTTTGCATAAAAAATATTAGAATTGCACAAATTCAGCATTGCACAGATTAAACATATATATTACATTGCAGGGCTGCCCATGATGCAACGTAAATAAGCTACCACATTTGACAACTGGCATCACGTTAACAGAAAATTATCCATATATAATATAGTTTAATACATTTATCAATGCATCGATATAGACAAACAGGGTAATTTTTTTTACTGACATTATTCAGAGCTGTCTATAGTTTGATCAATCACCTAAAACATCCCCAAATTTAATAGGGGGACTAAGGATGGCATGGAAAAAAGTTTCAAGAGTCACTGGCAAGGAAAAACATACAGTTGAGAATTAGATAAATAAATAACAAAGAAATTTCAGTCTAACACTGACTGCTTCAGCCAACTGTGACACACCATTCAAAATGCTCAGCACAGCACATCCTTTAAGTCATCAAGGTCAGGACTCCACTGAGATAAAACTTGGACCTTAACCTTATGATCACCACCAACGAGCTCAGCTTGCATTCCAGTTATGCACTGCAATGGGTGCAAATGAACACGGATTGCATAGGAAGTTTATGACTAACACATGTCATATGTATTTCAGAAGAAAGAATTCCCTAATCTTGCAATCAATGAAGAGTTAAATAATCCCAAAGGGGAAAAGTGACACGAGGTTACATCCAGGAAGCAAGAGAGCCATGCAAGTAGGAAAAAAAGACTTAATGACCCTTCAGACTGTAATGACAAACAGCCACTACAGGCCAGTTACACCTCTACGAGCGAGCTTTGACAATGTAAATGCTCACTTGTCCAAATACAAACGCAGGGGTGATGAGTCAGCAATTCCATTTCTACTTTAAACCAGTTAAAATCTGACCAGACAGTAACTCTGAACAGTGTTTGCAGAGACGCCGTGCCCAATTTTTCCATTATGTTGAAAATGCCAATATGGAGCGATAATTTAACTATGGCATTTTTCAATGCATATGCATCTTGTGAAGTATTATGGGATACTTCACTACATGAATATTACAACTAACTAATACCTAATTACGATTTACTGATACCTAAATATAACCTGGATATAACTACTGATCAGAATGAATTTAGGCTTTTGGTATTGTAGAAAAAACATTGAAAATTAAATTAGGGTATCGGATTCAAAATATTTATTTTAAGCATACTTATTTCTGAATTTTCTTTAATCAAAAAACAATTAAATTATATGTTACTCAAATAGGTAATAAAATAAAATTTTCAATTACAAAAAATAAATGATAGGGCAAACATTTGATTTTGCTGATATAAATTTCGAAAAAAGTTTTTACTCATGGCCAATTAATTACACCTAATAAAATATAAAAAGTTTTCAAATTTTGTTCATAGACTTTACTTTTTATTTGAACAACAAATTAGATTTTATTTACAAATTATCAATCGGGAGTATTGAAATAAAAATCGCCGACAGAAGGCGTATGAGGATATTATTAATATGTTAAAATTTGAGGGTGTTTGAGTTGGAGAGTTTAAGCAAAAGATTAATCATTTTTGCTCACCGCATATACAGAAAATGGCCTCGAACACTTCTGGAATAAATATGCTGATTGTCCATTTTGGCACTAGAAATAAATATTGCAGAGAATTGTAGGAGTCACCCACCCCCAGAAACCGAAGCACTATCTGCATTTTAATTTTCCTGGAAGAGCATCTCGAAAAAATATTTCTTTTTCCCCCTCCCTCTACAAATAAGTAGAGTAACAATTTCCAATAAAGTTTCAAACTATCATTTCAAACTCATTCTGAAGTTTTTGTAACTTTGAATATCCTCGCCCAGAAGTTAATTTAATGCTCTAAATTCATCATGAAGAGCTTTCCAGTTATGTAAAGATTTCCTTTTCTCCTTCCCCCCAAACAGAAATTAATTTGCTAGAAACTGCTTCGCAAACTTCAAGCTCTACAAACTGCCACATTGGCATCCATTTTACAAACAAACAGAGGCAAGTTGTCAGTCCAGCTTTGATTGGTGTAAACAGTCTATTAGATTACAGGTCCGTTCACTTGGTTTGAAACGCGGTTACAAGAGGCACGCCAAATCTGAAAGTTTTCAGATTTTATATTATGCCCAAATGGACTGTTTTTTAAATTTACAGACACACACATGTTTCAACAACATCTGGACTAATGCCATATTGTGCTAAAATATGTAAAAACAGCATATCTTTAGAATTTCTGATAGACAGTCTCGTGCACTGGAGATGAAAATGTTTTATTCCCTATAGTGCTGCTAACTGCTCGCTTTGAAAATATTGAATTTTTTAATAAAAAGTTTGTTAAAGTTTTGTAAAATATGAAATAGATAATAAAACAAATTGGGGTTTCCAAGTGCCCATATTCGAGTGGAGGACTATGTTACTCAAAATGCCTCTATATACCATTCTTTCTTTGCAATGCAAGAAACCTACATACATTCATATAGATTCTTTAAATATAATATTTGGTGGCAATAATTTCAAAAGTGATTCAGGGTTTTAAGACTAATAGCCCTTCTGCAACAGCTAATTATATTAAAAAATGCTTATGAAATTTTAATTTAGCTTTTCACATTTTATTAAATTTTAATTTAAATTGTTTAATTACTTAAATCTGCAATTTTTTAATTTTAATAATTATTTAATTTTTTAATGATTTTATTAGTCATTTTATTTATTTATTCTTGCGTCTTTTTCCAGACTGTCTTGTATAGGATTGGCACTTCTAATTTTAGAAATTAAGCCCTGCAGTATCTATATAATGTAAGCACAGGTACAATTTCTATTGCTTAATAAAAAGTAACACTAAAGACATTTCAGTCCATTAAAATCTCACTGGAAACATTTTCAAATAAATTATTTTTTACAATCCCACTGTGCAAATTTTATATGCAGCCTCCAAAATTAAGAAAATTAATTTTAAAATTGCATGTTAATGAACTCAGTAACATTAAGATTCTTAACATGCCTAGAAATTTGCACTCATTTTTGAAAAGCCAACTATAGACAAAAAAAATCAGTATTACATATATCAGAAATACTCTTCATACTTGAAATGAATGTTTTTAAGTATTCAATACTATTTATTAAATTTTCTTGCTTAAATACTTCAATAAAACTTAACATTACTAGCGCAATACATCATACCCTGAAATCTAGATGTTTATTTAACATAATGCTTAAATATCTTCAGTATTAATTCTAACATTCTAACTGGATCACTAGTATATGTCACTTTTATAAGAAGAAATGAGCTCATTCTTAAGTATGCATTATTAGTCCACAACAAATTATTATGGAAATCATACAAACCTTTTTAAACAAAACAACACCATCTTGTGTAGCCTTTAATTCACTGTACACCTCATCAGTAGAAGTAATGCCAAATACAAAGTCATCCATTTCTGCAGCAACATTCTTGTAAATCTTTGCCTGATCTGAATTTTGGTCTTTAAAGAAGCCTACAACTACTACCTCACCACCATCGATAAATGATTTTGTTGCCTCTACCGTAGTTAAATCAGTTGCTGGAGGTCCAGTCTTCTTTTTCAGCCAGCGTATAATGTCATCAGCAGTTCGTCCACCTAATAATTACACAACCGTTACAAACACGCTGTAGTTCATGTCATCTCAATTATTTTATTGTTACAGTAAGAAAAGAGTCTCAATGGACTAAACATCTTTCATCACACTTTGCAATTCATACACATTTGTACTTGTAATGCTACTTAAAAAAAAAAAAAAAAAAAGTCACTGAAGTATTATGAAATAAAATGCTTGTCTGGTTCAAATTTACTAAATATTTATACTGCCTTGTAGCTTATTTACTACCTATGAGATATGTATTAGATTAAGACTTGCTGCTTGCAATGAATTCTAAGTTACTATAAGACTACACTCCTCAAAAATTTCAAACCAGGTATTTAACAAAGTAATAATAAACCAACTCCCTAAAAGAGTTACTAAATCAAAATAGCTCTCTAGACTCATTCTACAAATGTAACTTCAAATAAGTATGATGACAGACATAAAAAATAATGTTAAATGAATTTCAGGATTACACCATAACACAAAAATATATTTAAAAAAACTAAATAAATATTATGAATCAATTTAATATTTAAAAACAACAAGTTGACAAATTTTCTTAGTGTAGAAGTTATTCAACGATTGAATAAACCATTTAAACAATAACCATAACACTGACTGCACATGTCAAATATTTCAAGTAGCAGATTACTATATTGAAAATTTCAGATCACGCAATAATAACATGCATGATCTGAGCTATCTGAAAGTCGATATGCTAATATATTTTGCAGCATTAATACTGAAGTACAGTACCTATATATCAATATTCAATTTTTTAGGACGAAATTATGTAACCATAGATTATGAAAGAATCTTAACTTCTAAGAATTCACAACAAGAGCTTTAAATGAAATGTTAATTTCAACAGTAAATATTTTACACAATGGAACACAGAAAGTCAACTTCATCCACAGGTGACCTAAGCTGCAATCTAGGATGCAGTAATTTTAAAGGACACTAGTCAATTTGTAATCACAAGTGAAAACAAAATGAAGATTTAACTTTGCTTTAAATTATTAATATTGAATATATATAGGGCGCCAAATAACCTGATCGCCTTGTGTGGTGAAAATGCTGGGGCCAGTACTGGGTATACATGTACAGAAACTTAAATCTTTTCAAAAATTATTTAGAGTTTTAATACATACCAGAGTATTCTATCACTTTACCCTCTCGGAAAAACTTAATAGTAGGATACCCACGGACACCATGCTGTTCAGCTAAATCAGTTTCCGCCGTAGCATCAACTTTAGCCAACAGTAAGTCGGACTTTTCCTCTTCCAAGATCTGAGCGGCTTTAGCATATTCAGGTTCTAAGGCCTTACAATGACCACACCAAGGAGCATCTGTACATAAATTTGATAGTTAACATACACAAACACAATATTCTGCTAGGTAACATTTATTTTATCATTAGATACACTACTTATAACAACATAAAGATAGCATATGGGATTTTAATATTCACAAATATTTATGCAAAGGCTGATTTTTTTACGTACGATTACAACAAGGAAGTTCAATTAATAATTATCATATATTTTCTTTCCTGCTTTACAAAAATGAATAATTTTCCTCTAAAGCAATCAGACAACAAATAATAAAATCACATACTGTAGATTAAAAGTATAAGAAATACAATCAGTGAAAAATATATATCATAAGGCAAAAAATTAGTAGCGATTCTCAACATTACAAATGTAACATTGCAACATTAATAAAATCAATTTTTGAGCTTAAAAATACGATTTGGTAAATAGTAAAGGCGTACTTACAAAATTCGACGAGTACATTTTTATCTTTGATTGCCCCTTCAAAATTGTCTTTGGTCAAAACTAAAACTGACTTTTCTTTTTTAATTTCATCAGCTACACATAAATATATGCATAAACTAAGAATAAGAAGCTTTATATACATTTTATAAATTTAAGTTCAAGCCGGTAAATGAAAAGCCTATCACCTGACACTAAACATGCACCAACGCCGCTGGTTAGAGGAAAAGTCAAACGTGGCAAGCAGAACCAAACCGAGACGCAGGCGTTTTTAACGTATGTGTCCCTCGTGTGTTCTGTTGATTGGTCGAGAAGTCTATCACATCTTGACGGGCGAAGGTCTTTTCCACAGAAAGGGAAGAAATGACCTGCCGCTTGCTAAAACTCATTACTGACAACGAGTAGCAGAGAAATTTACAGATAACAAATTTTAAAATTAACTGCTTTCAAACAATATTCATCCGAAATTATGCATTAGTGTCCTGACACTAAGAAGAAATTCCTCATTACAGAAAAAATTCATTATGCAATAAAACCTAACATATTTATCAGTTCAAAACTTATAATCAAATATTCAGTTCGAAATTTTCTGATGCATGTATACAGAAACTCAGTTTTTCAAGTACTTTTAAAAGTTAATTTTTTTTTTTAATTTGCCATCATCGTAAAAATATTTCTGTTTGAAAAAATTATCCGTTAAAAAAAAATTGAATATTTTTCTTTGAAGAGTTTCGAAGGGACTTTCTAAGGGTAAAAGTAATAAAACAGCAGAGTTATATTTCCAGTTGCATGGTATTCGGTCGAACTATATTTTCAGATGAGGATATAATGATATATATATCTTATCATGAAAGACCGAAATCTGGGGAAGTCGACATTCTTTGGTGGATGTCAACATTCATATAATTGCTTGGTGTGTGTCCGAAATATTTGCTAAATATCCTTATTTCTCTCTTACACTGGCAAATGTCGACATTTGCCATGCACTGATTGTGTATATTGAATAAAAATACTTTTGTTATGTTTTTAATTCATACTTTATTATTAAAGCCTATTATGATATATGTCAAAAGGAGAAAGCTTAAATAACAGCACATATAAATAGAGCTGGGCAAAAACGCTCATTTAACAGATCAAAGCGGAGCCGCCGTTCGCTCACTGAAGTGAATCAGTTCTTTTTAACTCTTCACTGCTCACTAACAATGACATTTAGTGAATGCGTTCGGAACAGGCATGGATCAAGATCGGAAAGATGGGGGAAATCCAGAAAAAAATTAACAAGGAGTGGTATCAGTGGAATCAACTCAACCAAACCGCTCCCTCCCTGGACTGATTTCTTTCAACTATACTTTTAAGATTTCCTAAAAGAAACAAAAAAACTTTCTACATAGAACAACAATAAAATTCTGGAATAAAAAATGCCAAAAGTAAAAAAATAATGAAACTAAACTTATTTTTGTTTTCTACTATAAAGCACAGTGTAAAATAAATTTCTAAACTGGAGGCAGACAGTGGAGTAGCGAGCATAACTGGCGCCCGGGGCAAAATGCCTTTTTGGCGGCCCCCTCTCCCAAGAAAAAACACAATGATATGATGAAAATCTTGTTTGGAGGCCATTTGGCGCCCTTCTGCGAGCAGCGCCCGGGGTATCATACACCTCCTTGCTCCCCCCTCGCTACGCCACTGGAGGCAGATCCCAAAGAAAAGGAAATTGTCTGCTAACAATACCAGCATTTTCCCCTTTTTTTAAAAAATCTAATTTGACAAAATGATACCAAATATTGCTCGAGGTTCTTCTGTCATGTAGGATCCACACTTTGTTCTACAACCTGGAAAAATTACATTATATGAAAAATTTATGTTTATAAATACAGTGGATGGACAAAAATATGGAAACACCTTGTGAAATGCATGTTTGAAAAGAAAGATTGATTTTAATGAAATATGTAGGTGGCGCTGGCGTTTTTGACTACTGACGCCACCTATATAACTTCGTAAATGTGCTAAACAGTTCAGTTGTTGTCGGAGTACTGTTATGTGAGGTTGTCATTGCATTATGTCAGAGTTAACAGACTTCGAACGGGGCAAATTGTTGGAGCACGTATGGTAGGTGCTTCCGTAAGCAAGGTAGCCGAGGTGTTTAGTGTTTCAAGAGGTACTGTATCGAAGATTTATTCCGCATATTTGAAAAGCGGAAAAAACATCATCTGCTAAATCACAGCGCGGACGAAAGTGTGTCCTGAGTGATCGTGACAGACGATCATTAAGGGCAATTGTGACGAAAAATAAGAAGACCACAGCTGCAAAAGTTACTGCTGAAATGAATGTTGTGTTACCGAACCCTGTGAGTACCAAAACAATTAGAAGGGAGCTTCATAAACAGGGAATTGCTGGCCGTGCTGCAATTGAGAAGCCACTCATCAGTGATGCTAATGCCCGTAACAGGAAAAGGTGGTGTTTAAGTAAAGCCTGGACTATTGGAAGCGAGTAATATGGTCTGACGAGTCTTCTTTCACATTGTTTCCCACTTCTGGCCGAGTTTACGTCTGGAGAACGCCATCTCAAGCCTATAATACAGACTGCTTGTTGCCAAGAGTGAAACATGGCGGGGGTTCTGTTATGGTTTGGGCAGCCATATCGTGGTTCTCTGCTAGCCCCATGATAACTGTGTCAGGGCACATGACTGCCAAGACTTATGTGAACATTTTGGCCGATCAAGTTCATCCCATGGTACAAACTTTGTTCCCCGATGGTGATGGTGTCTTCCAAGACGACAAAGCCCCTGTTCACACAGCTCACATTGTCCAGGACTGGTTTTCTGAGCACGAGGATGAGTTGTCCCATCTCCCCTGGCCACCACAGTCACCAGACCTGAATATTATCGAACCTTTGTGGTCTACATTGGAACGGAAAGTGCGTTCTCGTTATCCACCGCCAACATCGTTATCTGAACTTGCCACCGTTTTGCAGGAAGAATGGTATAATATTCCCATAGCAAACATACAGGAACTGTATTTATCCGTTCCGAGAAGACTGCAAGCTGTTTTGGATGCCAACGGGTTTCCTACACCATATTAAGCAAAGAAACATGTTTTTTTAAAGGTGTTTCCATATTTTTGTCCAACCCCTGTATATACTAATCTAAAGAAGATTACAGAGAAATTCAGTTCTTTATTACAAGACGTTAATAAAATAAGTAAATAAACAAAAATATAATTTCTTATTTTACATAAATAAAAAATTTATTCTTTTACATAAATAATAAATTATGTTATTATTTAGGTGTTACCTTTTTTATACAATATTATTGCAATATTATTTTACATAAATAGTACAGTAATATTATATAAAAAAAAGGTAACTCCCAATATACATAGCTATACTATGACACAGTATTCAAGGAATCGAAAAGAAACTGAATGGAACAGCTCCGAGGAAGCGAAAAGAGCAAATATCAATCAAGACTCCACGGGAGCCAGATTTGCGGCTAGAAAAGGAGCTATGAAAAGAGGGAATAATGAAGATTCCGTCGGATCCTCAGCTAGAGCAGGAGGAATGAAAAGAGCGAATATTCACGATTCCGAAGGGCACAGATCTGCGATTACTGTCGGAGATGCTGACAGCTGGGAACCCAAGGAACTAGTTCCTATAATCTAAGTACTTTAAACAAATTCTTGCCCTGCCAGATGGAAATAAAAGAACTCCATCCATTTGTGAACAGGGATGGTCAGTTTCGCTGAGATGTGCCGGTTTATTTAATGTTTTGTTTTTAAATACTAGATGGAACACAAGGAAGCCAAAAGCACACATATATACATACATAACACAAATGAACTCATAAAAAATAGGTCAGAGACGTTTCCAGTAAATAATAAAATAAAGGATGCTAGTGTTTACATTAAGAAGAATCAAATTTTTCTTGGCACGCTTCCCAACAACAGCTCTCGGTGAACTGTTAAAGAACTGTCGTTCCGCTGAACATTCATTCAGTAAAGTGAATTTGTTCTTTGAATCGGCTATCTCTACATATAAATAAACTATACCAATAATACACTTACTTAATTATGTGACTGACGTTATAAAAACCTTTTATATTGCAACAACTTAACCTATTATGACACTTTGAATTACACAAAGGTCTCTTGCTTTTACAACGTCTGTCTGTCTTTTGTGCTTTTCATTTTGACCTCCACCAGAGCACATCTGTGCTTGTCACCATATAGCGGTGACGGTCCGAATGTGTAAGAATCTAACCCAATATTCGGTCTTTCACTGACGTATCTGTGACATTCTCCAGTTTTGGTCTTTGACGGTAACATATGTATAAAAGATTTTACCAAAAGAAGGAACGGATTTTAAGTACATGTAAAGCTGTTTTTATGCACACTTGTCAGGCATTGCTCGATAGAGAAAAAGTGCAAGTTTTCAGATATTTTATGCGTATGTCTTCTGTAAGTTGACATACGTCAAAGCTAAAGTCAATGTTTTCATAAACACTCTCTAATATCTCAGCTACCGTTTAAAGGATGAATTGCTGCAATGGATCATTGCTAATGGTTTTGTAATATGGTAGAGCTTACAAGTATGCGATTTCTTTTATAAATATCTTGGTAATGAATTACAGGGTGTCAGGTGAACACAGCAGAGTTATCTTGCGTATTCTAAACCAACCAGAAGTAAAAAGGGAGTACGTTCAGTTAACATATTGTTACGTTATTTTCTTCCTCTTGACGTTTGTACGGGGTTCGTGTGGATTTGGAGTGAAAAATGACAACACTTGATGAAGTATCGAAACACACTTTATTGGCCAGTATTCTCAAGACAGCTCCAAAATCACGTTTTTACAGTCGTCGAAGAACTACTATAAACACGCTGTAACAATCAGAGACACAGCCTTCAGTTACCGTTTCGGCTATCGGGCTATAACGATAAAGACAGCTTCATTACAAAGCACCAGAGTACAGCTCCTGACTCTGACCGGTCGTTCTCGGAACTCCACGTACTTTCGAGACTCTCCACGCAACAACTCGCGATGGACTCGACGATACACTAGAGTACAGCTCTCGACTCGGTTCAGTCGTTCCCGAAGCTCAGCACACTCTGTCGGCGATGCACTAACCGCGATACACTAAGAGACTCTTTCGGTGCACTCGACGACCAACTCGGCAATAGGCACTCACTAACTATGAACTCGATGAACTCCGCACGGACTGACTAGACGAGACACTAACTCCGCATACCAGCAGTGTTTAAATAGG